TTTTTTTGGGGCGTGTATGTCATTCCCGCATTTTTACAACTTTTCGGATGCTTGGTGATTTTTGACAAGCTTTTTTACATTTCCTGGAATAACTTTGCATAGAGCAGCTGTAGACAACAGCTGATGCATTTTTGCAGCTGGTGTATTGCATCTGAGCAACCGGAAGTACGCCGAATCAGCAGCCCACAAGGGACTTTTTAGACGTCCAGTTTTTTCCGGAAGCCCACCAACTACTGACATCCCATTTTTTAAGCAATAAATCATCACGGAGTATTGAGGAACGAGGGCTGGGAGTGGTATCCTTACGGCGAACACGGAAGGGGAATGACCCCTTTTTTCCTTAATTTAAAGTTACAAGATAATTCTTCCTCAGCCTCATTATTCCTGAAAATCCATGAGACAGGTTTCGCGACCAGTGGACAATTTTGGTAGAACTTCGCTTTCGGTAAAAGGCGGTGGCAACAAAAATAGCTCGGGCGGTATCAGTTAGCAGTAGCAGCAGTCAGTTGCTACCAATGATCCCCTCTTTTGAGGTTTGCTTAGAAGTAAGTAAGCTGGATGGTGTTTATTAACATTTGTAATCCACAGATCCCAATTCAGACTGATTTTCGTAGCAGAATTTTGAGGCATTTGAAACTGTCTGTCAGAGTGGCTAGAAATCAGCACTCGAATTTAAGCGGATTTTGCTTGCTGGATGTTAGATATTCGAAAAGGGGCCTCTCTTACTGTCGTGGTCATTGGCCACCGCCGAGTATGCTGATGACTTGATCTTTAACTGCAGGTTCAAATTCATGATGATATACATCTCTAGGACGGAATTGATGAAACACTTCAAATTCTGTCAATAGAAAAAAGGTCGAAGCAATTCAAAGCTGAGTGGACAAAAAGGACGTAAGAACACTGCAAGAGGGGCTGACCACCACCGGTCAAAGCAACTAGAAAAGTTACCATTTGCGTAGCTGGAGAAGCAGACAGCTGAGTCATATATCCGAGTCATTTCAAAAGGTCGTTATGACGTGGTCTATTGCTCCGAATGCATATTTTAGCGCATTCATCTATCGCTCTCTTGGAAAACTTATCGAAAAACACATATTTGTGAAAGGCCCTGTACATGTGTGTCACTATTTTCCTCGCAGCTCTTTTTAAGGTTCTCGTTGGTTTTCCTCGCACCTACAAGGATTATTAATTTTTCTCCTACGACATTTTGAAGGGGTGCCGATCTTCGTTGACTTTCCTCCTACGTTTCTAGGAGTGCTGGTGCTCGTGGATTTTCCTCCTTCATTGTACTGAGAAGTTACAGTTGCTCGTGTATTCCCGTCACACTTTATTTTCAGGAAGACTAATATCGTCGTTTCTTTTGCAGGTTTTGTACAGAAGTGTATTTTATATCTGCGTTGCACCTTGTATTTCTGCTGTTTTTCAATTAC